TCTTCTTTGAAATGTATAAATACATGTGGTATAAAAATCAAACAAACTTCAAGAGTTAGAAAAAGACAAGGATTACACTGGAGGGCACCATGAAACTTTGAAAGCCTCTTTAAGTTATTGATCATCCCCCAAAATCTCAATATAATGTAGTTCCTGTTGGCATATGAAAGCTGCAAGCGCTCCTTCCGCTACCATCATTCCAGATACATATTAAAAAAAAACAAAACAGAAAATCACAAGTGACCTCAAAAAAAGCATACCTTAGATAATAAATGCACCCCTGGAGAATTGTGGTTCATGAAAGCATAATATTATTAATCATGGACCAGCTGGGGCCAAAATTAATAACAAAGAGGAAGAAAACAGTATCATCTGACATTTCCACCCAAAGAAGCTCATTTTCTACATTCCAACAGCCTGCCTGGATTCCTTCTCAATAGCTCAGCTCTTCCTTTCCATAGTGCAGATTTGATGGCTAATTTCAGCAAAATATGCCTTTTTTTTCAGCTCGGCTGTAAAAGGCATGTGGGAATCACTGTCATAAACTGTCATTTCTGCGCATGAACATGTGTTAGGAGCGACAGAACTGTTACATTCTCTCCCCCCCCCCCCCGTCCTTTGTGGTACAACACTTTCACTTGAAAACACATTTTCACAGAAAAATATGAAGTGGGGAAATACAACATTGCTTTGTAATAGAGGGGATCAGACAAATTTAATTACAAAACTGCCTCAGAACAACGGAGATAACATTCTTGCTAGGCATCATAACTAATACTTACAGTAATGTGTTTTTATAAACCTCTTCTCTAAATCCACTCTCATTGATTTGACAACTTGACCATTAAATCATTAAAAAGTCACAATGCATTAAATCAATGGACAATCTAGTCCAGGCTCCTATCACTCAATTTCGGCCATCCCCGGGCATATAGGAAACCATCACGAGTACCAATAGTGTTGTTTTGCAGATGCTTCACAGCATTTTGGAGCAGAAAAAGCCAGCTAGATACAGAACAGGTACTTTTGATTAAATGCCCATCAATCCCGACATATGGCCAAACCTGGGAGTTGTAAATGGGTCAGCTTGTCCATCACTGAATTGTAAGCTTCAAGAAGCACCTTGACTCAGAGCTGTTGGCAACACCTATGTATACTACCTTTCTCATCCTACTCTTTAAATCAGAGAACCACCGTCATCATGCTACTTAAAAGCAGCAAATTCCACAAAGAAATTAAGATCTGGGTGAAGGAAAGAAGTGTTTCTTTTCCAGCAATGAAGGACCTATTTCCTAACGTCCCTACTCTTGTAACAGAAAACTATTGCCCAAGTCTTCACATTACAAATCAATTGAAATTTGAAGTTTTTGTAATTTCAATTATATTGTTACTTTATTAAATTCTATCTATTGCCATTATTACTGCTGCTCCTGATTGTTTTTTTCTTCTTTTTACGATCCTTTAATCCCTTTATTTGGGGTGGAGTTGGAGCGACTGAATGGAGCTGAGTGTTTACTGGCCGGATGCCCTTCCTGATGCCTGCATGGAGTTCACAGCAGATACTTTCTCTTTGCACCCTGATAAACATCTGCTGTTGCCTAGGATAAAACTCTCAACCCTCTGAGTGGGAGGTGAGCGTCTTCGCCTCTAGGCCACCGTACTGCTCTCCTCCTTGTTATTAACTTCTCTATAATATCATCGCCTATGCTGATTTTTCTGTTGTTTTTTTATATTCTTTTTTTCTGATTCATGCACCAACAAAGAACACATTATCAATCTCTGTTGGGGTACAATCTCTGTTGCCCCCACCTTCCTAGCTAGCACAGCCTAATCACTATGCTCAAGTTACTTGATATTCTTTTTGTGAAGCTATCCTTGTGTGTGTGTTTCCTCCTACTAGGTCTGGAAGCTGCCGATGATGCAGAATGCTAAGTGGAGTGCTTAGCCATGCGCATATCTCAACAGAGCTGACATAATTAATCCAGCTGCCAACTGGCTATTGACAGTTCAGGATCCAGCAGATCCACTTTTCTATTTATCTGGGATTTTCAGAGATCTTGCTAGCTACGGTACGCTGCATTTCAAAGATGATTAGCATTCTGGGATTGCTCAAGAATAAGATGCCCCTTGGCCTCTGGAATGCTGTTACGTATGAATATTTGCTTTTCACCTCCACTTTTCTAATATGGATTTTCTATTAAATGTAACCATTTTCTGAATACTTTCATTGCTGTAATTTTTAAAACAATTCTAAGCACATGCATTACATTCAGATGTTTTTAAACATTAGGCTATGAAGCAAAAAGATGTGGGAAAAAAAACCAAAAAACCCCCAGCATCTTTCTAAATTCATTTAATACAGAATTTGGAAACTGAAGTGAACTTTGATCAGATTACAAAATGTAAAACGCCATTAAGCACATTTTTCTTCCTATCATAAATACCGGGAAGAGGGCTTGAGAGGCTCATTCAGCCACCGCAGGTATATAGTTTAAGGTCTTCTATGTAATTCTGACTGCTAAAATGACAGCTTTTCAAGAATATGATTGATAGATCTTTTGAAGAGATTCATATGGTCTATGCTCCTCTCTGTTCCTTCAGGATCGAGTCATTTATCAAGATTATGGTAGGGTGACTCATAGGCTCTCCATCTGATACACTTACTTAATATTGATGGAAGTTCTCACTACTTCCTCATTGCTTTGGCTCCTGAATCTGGGTATTATTAACTGGGGAACAGATTCATCAATAATGTCAGCTTGCTTGTTCCTCCAATCCATATTTGGACAATTGCAATCAACACATCTGTCAAGTATGAAAGACATGATCCTAGATACCTTATAATGAAAATGTTCAAGCTCTCATGAAGGCTGGAGTTTTCTACATGGATTCTCCTGCTCAACAACTTATATTACTCAGTTGGGAATATGTGCTTTTGTAGTATGGTGACTGGTCCATGGAAACACTGGCTGTCCAGCGCAAGGACTGAGATGATATTACACAGATGTTAGCTGGAAGTGCAGTAAGATTTACCAGGGAAGATGAATACCCTGGCTTTATAACTTCTTACATGCATAATAGATTCTTACTATTATCTTGCAGAATAAAACTTTTGGATTGGCCAAGATTTACATAAACATAGTACTACCAATCTGATTAGTAAACTAGTAGTGATGGTTCAGTGTTAGAATGCTTATGGGCTTAATGGTTTCAATATGACTTTAGCATATAGGTTTAGCATATATTTAACATTGATGATGTTACCTAGTTTGGTAATAAAACATCTGCAAGAAAACAACCAAGCTCAGAGAGCATCAAAGTTCAACCCTGAGCTATAAATATTCTCTTCTATGCATATATAGACTAAAAAAATCCAGATGATCATTAGATGGCAGCTAAGAAATACAAAAAATACAAGTTTCCTGCCATCTAATAGTTGTCAACAATTTTGCAGCCCCAACATGGTGACTATAGCATAAATAGTAACCTTTTGACAAGAGCACAACTTATTTCTAGATAAAGACAAAATCATGTTTTTGGAGCAATTACTTCAATTGAAAAGAGTAATCCATACAGTCAGAAAGGAAAATGTTCTTATTTCTTTATTTTGTTACTTAAGAAACTAGAATTCTACTGGGCAAGTGTAGCAATTACAATATTCCATCACCTATTTTTCAAGTGGAGAAGTGGCTACTGGGTTATCACTTAGAAATCTCTGCATGTAGACATGTAGATATGATTACAAATGAGTAATTTGAATAAATGAGCAGGTTACTGGGTCCATGGACCAAATCCATGCCTGTTTGGAGCCTCTGAGCACATGGAACTCATAGAATGCCATGGTTTACTGAGCAGCTCTGGAAAATGAAGTGACACAAGAGCTTCCTAGAGCACCACTGGAGGAAGACAAAGAGCAAGGCCAACCAATATAAGAGCCTATATTAGAACTTACTTTGTGTTGATAAGTGTGGCGAAGCATATTTGCTTCTCTGCCCTTATTGCATCTTCAAATATCTGTTCAGTAACTTTCTTTCAGATGACCAGATCCCTATTGGGTAAGGAGGAGCCAGAGAACACCTTACCCATGTGCATTCCAATGCATAATGATGGCTGCCATCTTGATTTTTTTGGCTTATGTAAAAAAAGGGTAGGGCATCAATTGCATGGTTATGGACAGCCTCTTGGCTTTTTAGGCCCACCTCCCTGCAGCTGGCAAAAATGGTTGAAACTGACTGACCTGGATGACATGCTACTGGCAGGTAGAAATATGTCAGAGGGGTTAGCCATGTCATGCTAACATGGCCACCGTATGATATTCATTCATTTGTTCTATAACCCTCTTAGTAAATTTCCATTCTTCTTTCTATCAGTGTGCTGCTCTTCCACTTTCTTTGCATAAAAGGTATACAATCGTTTCCTGTCATTTTTGATGAACAGTTTTCCAGGGGAGTCCCTGAATGGAAGAGAATTGCTGGAAGGCACACCGATTCGGTCCTTTGTGACTGCACTGGCCAAAAAGAAAAAGGAAGAGAAGAGGATGCAGCAAGAAGAGAAAGAGGAGGTATCTGTGTGAAGCAGATGCAATTGTCATGTAGGTCGATTCTCCAATGTACTATTTTTTTGGGGGGGGAGGTGAGTTCATTTTTCTGACGTGTCTCAAGAAAAAGAATTTTTTTTTAGAAAAAATTAGTTTCTGGCCTTTATTTACATTTTTATAACACCAACCCTCAGTGGGCCCTGTAATTAAACTGGGGTCCATTGGATGGGGGGAAGGACGGTAACAAAACTCAAGGTGGCACCACAAGAGTGGATGCAATGTTTACAGCTGTGGGGCTAGTCCTGAAAAATCTAACTATTCCCAAAAAAGCTAAATGTTAAAGAGTTGGGAAGGGAAAGCATTAACGGTTTATTTTGAAGAAAAGAAACATTTAAGAGTGGATTTTTTTTTCTTCTTTGCATGAAACCCCAACATTTTATAGTCATTAATCAATAGACCTTACCAGAGGAAAAATGGGGTGTCTTTGAACTGCAGATCGAAACATATAGCTCCTACATAGAATAAGGAGAGAAAATAAAATTATTTTAGCATTTAGGTTCTTTTGAAATAACAGTAGTTTCAGTAAAATTGGGGATTTTAATTTTATCTACATCTCAATGAAGACAAGGCTTCCTCTTTGTCAATGTACAGAGCATAGGCTCCTATGCCCCTGAATACCATCCAGCCTATGCAAAAGAACCCTGGAATGGCCTGCACCAACCTCATTCCCAGTTCAGTCTTCTTCAAAACCCTTTTCTGGAAGGTCTGCTTTGCACTGTTAGTGGTCCTCTCCCAAAAGGCTAAAACTGAGAGCTGCTATGTTGTAAAGGTTTGAATCTTGTACCAACTTAAGAAGATCCAAGTTCAAAACATCTTCTTCTGCTAAACTTGTTTGTGTGTATGTGGGGGGGGGGGAATTATGTAAGATATGAATTGTGTCTATGTTTCTATGCAAGTGTCTGCTCTGAAACATTTTGTTCAGGAGGCCTGTATGGTTTTTAAACTGAATTGATTTCAATTTGTACGTTTTTTATTTCTAGTTGTTTTAATAGTATTATATTTTACTGTTTTAATAACTAGCTTTTATTCATTGGTTTTAATTTGAGAGAGCCACTGCCAGGAACCACTCAAAAGTGCTGAAATCAGTAAAACTAAAGTTACTTTAACCCCATTTAACCCCACCAGCATATTTCAACTCTTTTCTCACCATCCAACTGAAGTCGAGTGGAGGGGAGGAATGACTAAGGCCTTCCTAGAATAATACTGAGAATCAAAGGAAGGTTCAAGCTTACAGTCTGAGAAAGTAAGTTTAACTGATTGTTGCAAGCTACATAGATACACTATAATTTCATAAAATTATATACAATTGACATATGTACATGCCATTTTTTAAAAAACACACACACACATTAAATTTCATTCCTTGATCTTTCATCCACAAAAGAGTCTGGCTTTAATAATATGCCAAAATAGTTGGAAATCCAAGGCACAGCATTGCTGCAGAAATATCAGTGATTATTCTAGGACCAACCCTTCCTCCTTGTAGTGAGTCTACAATCCAATTTTATTTCAAACATGCCTTTGAAAAATCTATATTTTTCACAGCTATTTATATAGTGATGCAATTTATTTATCCAACTCATCACAGCAAGGTGAACAGAGTAAGACAAGGATAAACAACCAATTGCATGTGAGATGTTTGGATGACACTTTCCATAATTCAACCACTAACCCTTCTGGATGGACTTATGAGAATTACAGTCTCAGAAATCTGAAAGGCAACATGTTGCCTTGACCTGTAACTGACCAGCCTGGCAAGATGAACAGTTGTTTGACTACTTCTTTGTTGTCTTGCCACTTCTTTTAGGACCTCTATCTCCTGCTGATTTTTTGCATCACCCTCAGAGAAAATGGAAGGTACCTCTCCAGTAAGGAAGGATCTTGAAAAAGGCTAATTGTTCATGGAAATCAGCAAGAATCTATTTTGGCCTCTGGCCACAATGCTCTGGCTTCAGGCAAGGGCTATATTACTGCTTGGAAATATAGCCAAATTAAAAAATATTAAGATTTTACATGCCAAAATAATCTGTTTAAAAAGAAAACAAGATTAGAAAGTATACTTACTTAGTAGGAAAAGTAGGAACTGGACGAGGGAAAAGATCATATTGTCCAGGATCAGTGTTTATATTCTATGGGGAATCAAAAGCACAGTGTATAAGAATTTAAGCTTTATTTTGTAACCTAATTTATTGATCAGCTTTTCCAAGAGATCAAATCTGCCTTGTCCTGCCTTGTCTTGGCATGGCTGAAATAAACTAATGGACTGCTGTACTTGATTGCAGATGTGAAGTCACTTTTCCCTTTATCTTTAAACCCTCTTTGCAAATTGGAAACTAAGAAGCCAGTCTACAACCAGATTTTGTTTTTCCTCTAAGGTCCTAATTTTCTATTTGCAAATAGGTTTTACTTACACATCTTTAGGTAACGTTTACTTACTTTTAGTTACTACCATACTGAGTAAAGTATTCACCATATGCAATCAGAAATGCTACAATTCATTCTACCATCTGAACATTTTACATTTCTGTTTTTGGTGCCTTGAACCTCTTACGATGCCACAAGATTCTTCATTACTTTGACTCTTCAAATGTTGATTAGGAATGAACAAGCTTGCTGTGTAGAATCTTATTATGTATTTTATAAACTGCACTGGTTACCAGTTTGCTTCCAATTATCAATTATAAGCTGTTTTGCTCTTCTGCTGTTTGGGTGGTTTCCTTTCTGCTCTGATAATAAAAGCTTGTTTTCAGCTAGATGCTGTTGGACTACATCAGCCAATTCACCAATTAGCAATTTGAAAGTTGTTGTTAAGCAGTTAATTGGACTGTAGTTGCCTGATGCTGCTCCTTTTGTGGGATCTTTCATTATCAGTTGTTAACCAATCTTCAATTTTACCTTCTTGGAGCATGTTGTTAAACAGCTTGGCAACAAGTGGGTGTAAGACCAGTCAAAATATTTCAACCAAAAAATATGCAGTTCATCTTCATGCAATGCTGAGCAGTTCTTGATCTTCTTTGCCCTTATCTTCACCATTTCTGTTGTTATTACAATTTCTTTCATTTCAGCTTCTTTTTTATTCTTATCCACCTCCTTTATCCAAACTGCATTCTTGTTTATTTCTTTGGGTTGTCCCATATCTGTGCCCAGAACTAAACTGTTTCTTTTTTGTCAGGTATTTATTGGCTCGCTGCAGTCTCTCCATTGATGGATTGATAGAAATATTTCTGATTTGACTGAAATCGGAGATTCTGTTTGAACTTCATATATGCTGATCTCCTGTGTTTCCTTACAGTTCTTTCTTTTTAGGTGATATTTCTTGATCAGGTGTTGTTGGTTTTTTTTTGTCTTCTTGTTCTTTATCTTTCTTTCAGCTGTTGTAGCTTGCTTGCATCTGATATTAGCATGCTGATCTTATTTTCCAGCCTGACCTATTTTGTTAGTGCACTGTTTGGCTTTTTTTCCTTATTTGTTGGTTTTGCAGCCCAAATATTCAGTTATAACTGCATCTATACTATACATTAGTTGGTTTGGTTCTTGTAGTGAGTAATTGCTCATATTTGATATTACAGTATTGGCATTTAAAACTTGTGCTAATTGTTTCTTTGTAATAAACTTCAATGCGGACAACCTTATTATGTTGTGTCAGTTATTCTTTGTTCCAGTTCCTCTTGCTTTTTAGTTAGACTTTGTCTTTCTCAGGAGAAGGCAGATGAGAGGATGCCTGATTTGGGAATGAAAACAACTCAATAGCTATGCTGGCTCCTCTACTGCCAACTTTACCTGGTTTCCATCTACCATTTAACTACTTCTGGCAAGGCTTTGATTTCTTTGCCCTGGATAGAACTTTGTAATTCTTCCAATTCTACTTCTGTGAGTATCTTAGTTTGTATTATAAATAGACATTGATCCACTATCCTTTGTTCTATTTTTTCTGAAACCTTGTTGACCTGGACAATGACTGATCTGTTACAAGTTTCTGTAAATTATGTCTCACCATATTTTTTATGAGAAAGACATTCTTTGTCTGGCCCTTTGATGAGAAGAGAACTTTCAGCATAGCTCTCATTCTCCTCAGAGCACACAAGCCCCACAACCATATCAAGGCAATGCCTCAGTGGACATTATTACTATTATTATTATTATTATTATTATTATTATTATTATTATTATTATTATTATTATTATTATTATTATTATTATTATTATTATTATTTGTTTGTTGCATTGCCAGCCAGATTTTTAGATTGGACTATTATTATTATTTATTTATTCTAAGATGATGGTAATAACCTCTTTTGAGATTCTCCATTCCATTTCTAACTCTCTGATTTTCCATTCCCTGCTCCTCATTCATTGGCCGTTGAGCCCACTCGGAAGGACTTGCCATTGGGATATAAGACAGGATCAGGATATTAATGGTAGCCCCTGAGGTATCCAAACCATATTTTGGCTATGTACCTTTTCCTTTAAAATAGCAATTATTGTTACAGAACCCCATTCCTAACTTAATTTTACCTTATCTCTGTTGACTGGATAGTTGCTTTGCCTTGAAGTACTCTTAAAGGAATAAGTAGCAGGTCTTTTCTCTGCCAGTTCCACAAATGAAGGAGGATAGTACTTGAAAGCATTTGGCAAGGTCAGATCAGGTAATTGCTCATAGATGGATGCTCTCTTTCTCCCTTCACCTTTAAAATTATAGGTTGCCTTCACTGGGTTCAACTGAGCTTCTTCAAGAAAACCTCGTACAGGATAAAACCCTGGGATTGGGGTTGGCTAGTAGAGAGAAACAAAGCATATATGACGTGTTTTGCATATCTGAAGATATAAATATGGATTTCAGCAGTGTCTTTAAGCAGATCATTATGTATCTTTCTTTTTTTTGCTGAAGTAGATCAAATGTGTGAACTTTAACTCCCAAAATTCCTCAGCATATCTTGCTGAGATTGTGAAACACTGGGTAGACTGACCAATCTTGGTGCCCCAGGGAAATTAACATAACCTACATGTAGGTAATGATCCTCTTGCAGGAAATAATAACAAATCTTCCAAAGGACAGTTTAGTTGGGGACATATTTCACTTATGGGCTAATAATTCATTTGGGTAGCCCAGCACCTCTTCTTTCATTGCATTTCTTTTAATAATTCAAAGACTTAACACAGAGAAATCCAGTGTCTAAATGTTAATGTTAAATATTCAGATGTCCTACAGTATTTGTGGCTCAATTCAAATATATGACTTAGAAGACAAGGGAAATATTTTTATTCAGTTATTTTCAGAAATCAGTCATCATCCAGGTCAACAAGGAATCAGAAATAACAGAACAGAGGCTAGTAGATCAATGTTGATTTATAATGTAAAATAAAGTATTCACAGAAGTAGAATTGGAAGAACTGCAAAGGTCTATCCAGGCCAAAAAAATCAAAAGCTTGCGGGAAGTACCATAGCTCAGACCTTAGAGGGAAACCTGGGGAAGCTTATTCTCACATTAATGCTTTTTTTTATATAGCTGGGCCACAGGTTGTAAACTACACAATCTCTGTGAAAAGTGTTCTGCAAAGGATGGGATGAAGAGAGGCAAGTCCGTTATTTTCAATGATTCATAAGAGTATATAGATTATAAAAGGAGTCATACTAGTGCATCTCAAGGACTAATTAGTACAACATTCTCATAGAACTAGATACCTCCAGGAATATGACTGCAATAGCATTTATGAGTATAATAGCATTTTCAATAGGCTAAGAATAATTCTCAATTGGCTTGTCTTAACTCATGCCTTCCATATATATTAGGCTACAATTATCAACATTTCAAACTAATGTGACCAGTTTTGGAAATTGTAGGATGTCAGGTTGGAGAAGGCTGTTCTAAAGTATCACATGATATCCCTAAATTCTACTTTAAGAATGAGAATGCAAAACTATTAAATAATCTCACTTGTCTTAATTGCACTAGTTCCCAAATTGGAATATAATACAATAACATGCAATATTTTGGTAACTATACAAATTTAATAATTAAATTTTATGCTTGTAAATTAAGAACACAATAATAAATAGATACCACATTACATACCCTTAGTGATTCTCTCCACCATGTATCTCTTCTTTGATATGGTATTTTTTCATGTTCTCCTACCTAGAAAAAAAAATCAGAATTGTTAAAGAATGACTTTAAGTGTAAGAGCGTCTTGATATTTATACAGAAAAAATTAAAATGGTTTCATATTTAGAATACCAGTAGATTTAGTACCTAACCTAACTGAAGCAAGGGGACAATCTGATCAGAACTTAAATGGAGGTCAACCAGGAAGTCAAGGGCTGTAGCGTTAGTTTAAGAGCTTGAAAAACAGCCTGAAGAAGAACTTGGCAGAATGTTTCCATACAGCTGCTAAGAAAAGTATAAGGATGTCTCCAGGAAGACACTAGGAGTCTCACTTGAGGAAATGTTTAGTTTTACCATAGACTTAAAATGTTTAATCTTACAAGAGAAAATATAATGAGAGCTGCAATTGAAATAAGATAGCTGTAGAACATTTACTGTGGAATGTTTGCTTGATTTACTGCCCAAGATGCTGCGAACCATGCTCTCCCTCTGGGGTTTTTAAGCGGATTATTGCATCAAATCAGCAATAGTTGTCTATGACATCACAATCCACGTGCTAAGGATTTGAGCATTCTTACTTAGAAGAAGATACAAGCATCTGGGAACAAAACGTAGCCTCAGATAAAGAATTGATACAAGATTTTAAGAATGGGTTTCTGCTTTCAGACTGAGAAATATGTATTTGTTTGTAAACTCCCCTAAAAGGAGTTTGTGCAGGGTCTTTTCTTCATAAACCTGTGAAAAATGTCAATCAGAAGCAACAGATGAGTAAAAAAAAAATCTGTCTGTTCACTAGGACAAGCAAATTATCCCTCCCCAATGACCTTCTAAAATGAGACAAATTGAATATATTTAAACCCTGTTCTGTCTAGTCCTAAGGAACCCTGTTCTGTTCTGTTATTTTAGCAAGTTGGTTGGCTTGCAAGCTCTCTTAAGGTATGTAGATAAATACACTTATGCCACAGCATGCTTAGTCCAATCAGAGATTAGCCCATTCACACCGGCACACCTTTCTGGCACCATGTCAACACACTAAGGAGATCAGAATCACCAACTGGAAAACACAGAGGTCCCACTCTTTCTCCAAAAGGTTTCTGTTATTCCACAATCCTTTCTCAGAAGATTATGGAGGTTTTATGACATCTCTAACCATTTCCCATTTGCCAGAAACAGCACAATGAGTGAAACTTGAGCTAGGGCTGTAAAATACCAGATGTCCATGGTATGGCAGCAGAGCTTTTTAGTGTACCTCTTTGCTACCACCTTGTTATTGTTGGAGTGTTTACAAAGGACTGGCTTTGGGAACTGCAGCAAATGTGTATTTTAGAGGTATGTTATGTGCTATTAGGGCTGACAGTGATTTTGATAATAGAAAAACTTGCTTTCTCGAGCACTATTTTCCTCATGGAGGGAAATGTTGTAAACTATGTAGACATGTGAAAGATTTGGATGAATATTATAGAGTGTGATGACAATTTTTTTTAAAAGATAATAACGACAACGGGAGATTTCACTTTGCCAAGAGTCAGAGATCCCCAAAATGTTATCATCTCTTGGCAAAGTGATTTGTTAGAACCACAAAGAAGGAACAAGGAGGAGTCTGCTATACCACACATAAACCTTACCAACAGAAGGAATTACTTGAAGAAATGAAGGTGACCAGAAATGTGAGAAAATGTCCTTGTTATCCTTGAATTTATAGTATCAAAGGTAGAGAGAACACTTGCATACTAGATTTTAGAAAAGTGGATTTTGGTGAATTCATCCAGTGGCTTAACATTCTGAAGGAGAAAACTTTCTGCGAAGGGTGCAATATTCTGAAAAAAGGGCTATTGAAGGTGTAATTGCAAACAGTGGCAATTAAAATGGAAGAGATCTAAAGACACCAGCATAGATAAACACAGGGTTTCCAAAATGCTGAAAAGAAAAAAATAGAAAATAGCAGGGATGTATAACCAAAGAAGGAAACAAGACGTTGGCAGAAACTAAAGCACAGAATGAGTTGAGACTTAACATACCATTACATAATCATGCAAATACCCCAATTATATGCTTGGGTCAGAACATTTGACACATGTATGTAAATTCCAGCATTTGAGTGTTTATGTAATTATACAAGGCATCATTTCCTTTGCCCATCCCTTCAGATGTAATGGAATGTGAGAATGACCTTGGGAGACAGGAGGGAGCTGTAAATGGGACAACTGGCATGTAAAAGATGTCTCCAGTTTTCTGGAGAATAAAAGACAGGAGAAATCCAAGATTCTGTTTAATGTAACCTTACAATATAGTTCTAGTACTCTCCTGGTTGTGCTTTTGGTCTGGACTACCTTGCAGGGCTTATAGATGCCCATGCCAGCTGGGGCTTGTCAAAAATAAGTCACACTAACCATATCTTCTTTTTTGACAGAGTTACCAGGAAAACACAATGGACATAGAATATTTTGACCTCTGCAAACCTTTTGGGTTAGTCATTATCTCTCTTAACTCTAGCTACAGGGCAATAGGAAATCATTTCTGAAGCCATTGCAAGAAAATTGCATGGTCTTGTCCATGTACTAACCAGGAATCAACTCTGATACACCAAAAAAGGAGAGGATTAGATCATATAATTGTATTCGCTAAATGACTGCACCCAGAGCGTACTCATAAATTGCTCCATATCACTTCAAAAGTTGTATTAAATAGAGCATCACAAGACAAAATGCTGGAAGTTGTGTTGTTTAACATTTCTATTGATGACCTGGATGAAGAGACAGACTGATGAAATGATGATCAAAGTAGCAAGATAAGATTCATACAGATCTAGACAGATTTCAGCAGTGGGCCAAAACGAATAAAATGATATTTAACAGGGATAATATAAAGTTCTACATCTGGGGGGGTGGGGCGGGGAATGAAAGGCACAAATATATGAGAGAGACCTGGTTTGGCAGAAAAAACTTGGGGAAAGAATCTTGTCACTGTAATAAATAACAAGTTGAATTGGATGAACAGTGTGATCATTGAGTCCACATCGTAATTGTCTCATTTGGTTCTGCCTTGGAATAGTGTTTGGAATAGTGTTTCTAGTTCTTGGCACCAGAGTTCTCAACAGTGAAAAAACCAAAACAAAAATTGGAGTTTAGAGGACAATACCAAAATAGTGAGAAGACCAGAAACCAAGTCCTATGAAGAACAGTTAGAGGAACAAGAAATATTGGTCTGAAGAAAAGACTGAGAAGAGATACAATAGCAATCTTCAGGTATCCAGATGTCTGTCAAAATGAGAGAAGGCATAAGCAGACAGGACCAAAACCCAGTGAGCTGAAACAACAGGGAAGTATATTTCATGTTAAATATTAGAGTAATTTTCCTGCTGGTAATAACTGTCAATCAATGGAATAATTTAGCAACTACAAATAGCCATTTGTCCAAAATGCTTTAAGTGGTGCTGCACTGAGCAGGGAATTTCACTGGATGATTTAAGTTCTTTCCAATTCCTGATTCTATGAATAGACATATTTGTGCCTATGCTAGGTGCTCCCAAGATATTAATATATGGAGTAATACTATATTAATCCTGTTTGTGACTGGATCTGCTGGTGTTACATTTAATTACTGGGAAGAGGGGAAGTTAAATGATTGGAGCATGTCACCTATTTTGGTACTTCCCCGATTCAGTTAAGTGGATTCCAAGATCATAGTCATAGAGTCACACATCAGTTTTACACGCAGACACAGTGTTATGTATTCTAGGTCAAAAACTTTGTTACATACCAAATTTGAATGATTCCTTCCATTATTGATTTTGTATTAGCATGCATCTTCCATTAACAATAGTCTCTCATTTACATGGATATTTATTGGCTGATGCTATTAATCCCCTTTTCCACATCCAAAAACTGATGACTCCACAAACTTATAATGAATTAATGTCTCTGCATTTTTTATTATCGTGCTACATACTGTATTGCCAAATAAAAAACACCGGTATGCCAAAAGACCAGTTTCAGTATTTTCCACTTCCCATCCTCAGTAAACTTTTTTAATGGGCAGGAAGGTTATGTTACATTGAAACCAGCTTTTTTATTTTTTTAAGGACACCTTTGGAACCATGTCAGGATCAGAGATATTAGAAGCAACAGCAGTGAATATTGTACTAAAGTTTAGATAAATGGCAAATTGTGACTTATTTGGAATAGAATCTATTTTTGTTTAAAAGCAAATGGGGCAGGGATTGTTGGATGTGTAGTATTACTGCAGTTCTGAAATCACCGATTCACCATAAATTTGTGTGAATCATACCATGTATGTCAAAATGATTTCAATACTTTTTAAATAAGTGAAATTGAAGATCCATTCATGGAAGATACATAGAAGGCATTTTTTGTATACAACTTGTTTTATTCTTCTAATAGAACCAAGGTCCCCAGTGTTTGTCATGAGACTGATGTCTGCTGTTTTCCTGTTCCTTTTGCTCCATCCTACAACTCTGATAAAACTTTAAAAACAAAAATGACACGTAAATCAAAAGATGTACATTGTTGCTCAGAAAAGAGCAAAAATGAGCAGCGTAGTAGGGAAAGGAGCAAGTAATGCTGTGTGAGATGATGCTTCCTAAATGGTTGCATTTTTCGTTGAGTAGGCATTTTGCTTAAGTGCTCATTTGTTCTTACAATTCTATTTAAACAAATATTCTTAGCCTTTTTTGACCCAGTAAGATAAAGAAACATCTGTTCCTGATATGGTTCCAAAGGCATTCTTAAAAATAAAAATACTAACATCAACTAACATTTTAATTTACCTTCCTATCCATTAAAAAAGTTTAGAGGATGGGGTAGAAAGTACTGCACCCAGTGTTTTGGCTTACCTGTGCTTTGTACTTAGCAATATAGTATAACTATTTTCTGAGACATATAACTAATTTAGAAGAAACCATGTGCCCATTGATCCAGAAAATTTTAGAGAAATTTCCTTTGGAACACAGTCCAAGTGAAAACAAAATGCATCACTCACACTCAGTCTTTCCAGAGAACCTGTAGTTATTGGTTCAACCTTTCGACTTAAGAAGCGGCCACCAATCATTTTTACTTCTTGGTCTTAGTGTATTGTGGTCTAGAAGCAGATTTTTTGTGTGTTTTGCGGAAGAATAATATCCGCTCCCAACCTGGTGGTGTGCCTAATTGATGTGATGTCCATCTTGTAAAGAAAGGGGTACACAAGTGCCCTTGACTCATCTTCAAGCTACTAGGCAATATCACAATCACAACTGTGATGCTATGTATTCACTTCCTATCAGTAAAGGCAGCTTTAATGACTAACCTGTATCAGTGTTTTCATTACACAACTATGCATCAAGAATACAGAATTTGCTTGGTTCTCACCCTCCTGACCTCAAGAGCCTGAAGACCTGGTTCTATCAGTTGGCCTGGGGCCCCAATGGAGGAATATCACACAGGATCATCTAATAGAAGTTGCCACCTCCCCCTGTATATTTTCATTTTAATATTGTAAACCACCCAATCACCTTGTGGTGAGATGGAGAGCAAACAAATTTAATAAATACATGTATATATTTCTCATTTAATTACACCAGTTCGTTTTAGACCATGAGCGTTAGGCAGTTGTACAAAAATGCTGTAAATTAAGGATGTTTTCAGAAATAGAAGTGTTAATAGTTTATTTTTATCAATTAACAAAATGGAACGTAAGTGAGCAGAAATCCAAATCAAATCAATATTTGGTGTGACCATCCTTTACCTTCAAAACAGCATCAATTCTTTTAGGTACATTTGCCGTTTTTGAAGCAATTCAGCAAGGTTCTTCCAAGGAGAACCACATATCTTCTGTGAATGTAGGCTGCGTCAAATCCCTCTGTCTCTTCATGTAATCTCAAACAGACTCAATGATCAGGGCTCTGTAGGGCCAAACCATCACTTCCAGAACTTCTTGTTCTTCTTTACACTTTAGTTCTTAATGACATGGGCTGCATGTTTGGGGCTGTTGTCCTGCTGCAGAATGAATTGGGTGCCAATCACACACCTCCCTGATGGTATGGCATGATGGATAAGTATCTGCCTGTATTTCTCAGCATTGAGAATACCATTGATCCTGACCAAATCTACAACCCCATTTGCAGAAATGCAGCCCCAAACCTGCAAAGAACCTCCACCATGCTTTGCTGTTGCCAGCACTCATTATTGTACTGCTCTCCCGCTCTTCAGTGAGCAAAGTGCCTCCTCCTAGTCAGATCTTTCAAATTTTGACTCATCAATCCAAAGCACCTGCTGCCATTTTTCTGCACCCGTTCCCGTTTTCCTTCATAGTTGAGTTGTTTAGTCTCGTTTACTTATTGGAGGTACGGCTTTTTGGCAGTAATTCTTCCATGAAAACCAATTCTGGCCAGACTTCTCCAGACAGTAGATGGGTGTACCTGGATCTCACTAGTTTCCAGAGTTCTGTGCTGATGGCACTGCTGGAAATCTTCTGATGTCCAAGGGAAGTAAGCATGATATGTCTTTCATCTGCTGCATTGTCTCCTTTGCTGACCACTACGTCTATGGCCCTCAGCTTTGCCCGATTCTTTGTATTTTTTCAAAAGACCTTGAACAGCTCATTTTGAAAACTCAGTCTGCTTTGCAATCTTTGTCTGGCAGATACCTCGCTAATGCATTATAACTACCTTGTGTCTTGTTCCTGGGCTGTTTTGCTATGGTGTGTGACCTGTGATATGAAAACTGCCTTCTAGTAGCAGAGTTTGGCTGTTCCTCACCCAGTTTTAAGCCTCCTACACAGCTGTTTGTTAATGACTGTGTTTCAATCTATCTATGGAATTGATGATCATTAGCATCTGCTTGGTACAATTGGTTAATCCGCTAATCCTCCAAAATCCCTGACTTTGTACAAGTGAAGAACTGATGCTAGTTTGAGCCAAAAGGTAGTCACCCCAAATATTGATTTTAGATTTTTCTTCCGTTTACTCACTTTGCATTTTATAAATTGATAAAAATAAAACAATTAAAATATGTATTTTGAAAGCATTCTTACTTTATAGCATTTTTGCACAATTGCCTAAAACCTTTGCACGGTACTGTTGATATCTGTAATCACTGTACAGATTTCTAGATTTGAAAGGGAAAAGGCGATTCAGGGGCGCTCATGCTATACCTGCCTGAAATTCCTTAAAGAAACTGGACCTGTTGCTGGCATTTGATGCATTTAAGGGAATAACAGTTGCAACATACATGCTCATGCACTTCAAATGACCTTTCACCTTCAAACCTCATTCCTGCACAGCCCATGTCTCCCACGTTTTGTTTTGTAACCCCTGCCATGCCTTGCTATATATGCCATGCTAGATAGAACTTAGCCAAGTTCATGCCTAGAAGGCACTTTTGCTATGCCTAAACACAGCCTTCATTTAGAGTCTAAAAGGTACAAGGATTAATGTTAGAAGTAGACACATTAAAAACAATGTACAAGCATTCAAAAAAGATTTAGGCAATATGAGTTAATTATTTTTTATTGGAAAACAAATATACAACTTGGAATGGATTTGAGGCAAGTTGTGCCATAAGCGGATTCTTTTTAAAATAAGTGGCTGAACAAAAGTTTTTAAAAGCATAGTAACTATAGAAGAAAAATGTCTTCTGGTACATGACCAGGAGTACAAAAAATAGTGTACGAGTACCTGGATAATACACCCGTTTTGCAATAGTGCAAACTTTTTAAAGTTCCATATTGTTGACTGTCCATAGTCCACAGAGTTAAGACTACATTTCAACAACATGCTAAATTTCCTAAAATAACTAATTTCAACAGGCATAACCTAGATGATCCCTCATTTAACCAACACCGTCTAACTTTAGAAGTGTGGAAGGGCTTAAATATCCAGAGTAAGCCACATGCAAACATTTGTTACTTTGATCATTTTCCCAAAATATCAGGATGACAGATAAAGGGGAAAACATGGAGGAATGAGTTTGTTACTATACATGCATCTCTCTCAACAGAAGGGAAAAACCTTTTACAGATAAGTTACAAACAGAGAAAAAGGCAAATAAACAATTTGTACAAGAAATTTAACACGTTCTGTGCAGGGTCTTCACTTTGCTGTCATCATTTGTACAAACTCTGTAGAAGAAAAAAATATGGTAATGTTATTCAAATATCTGTGTAAATATTCAAATAAAAATAGGCAATCTGCCATATTAGCCAAGAAATTTATGTCAGTTTTAGACTACCATTTTGTTTTCTGTATAATATTGGTCCAGTGCTTCTCACCATTTATGAATTTCAAGAGTTGGTTCGCTTTAGTAAGCTATTATTTCTAAACAATTATTAATTTTTAATCATTTTTCTTTAGTATTTCATTCCTTTTATTAGTAGTAATTCTTTCTAATACACAAAGAACTCTCACAAAGTCAGTTGTTCATCAATATTATGACATTCAGCTCTGTCTCTTAAGATACCAAACTAAAATAGTAAGCCTTGTTATGTCCAAAATTTGTTGGTACTCAATGCTTTATCTTTTAAGTGTCACACTAAGATACTTTTTCTACATTCAATTGGCAAGGTTTCTATTTAAGTCATTTAAAAACTACTACACTACCAATGTTTTAATTTAAACATCACAAAGTATTAATATTAAATGGACCTCCTTCATGTTTGCGCTCAATTTTCTACAGATCCATAACCAATTTATCAAAAATTGCTGTCCAATGAAAACTTTTCCTTGAGCAGAGACCTAAATACAATTCGGCCCCTCAATATAAAACCTATTGTTAACCTCAAACATCTTTGTTCAAGCATAACTGTAAGCAGAGGAAGAAACCAACATCTTTAATGGTGTTCAATAACTGACTGTCGGAATCTTGCTGATATACTGCAAGCCCTATTGGTATATCTTCTGTCTCATATCAAATAAAAACTAATAATTTTGTTCAAATCTAAGTTGTAATGTTATTTCTGGCCAGATAAAAAGACACTAACTTTTCTAGTATAGGAATACAGTAACTTTTATTCAGTGATGGGATTCAAATACCCGAACAACCAGTTCTGTGTGTGGACGTCGCTTCCGGAAGTTTGTTCTGGGCCTGGGTCTCTGAGGCCCAGAACGGACTTCCGGAAGTGGTGTCACACACTTCCGGTGGGCTGTTCTGGGCCTGGGAGGCCTCCCCCAGGCCTCTGAGGTTCAGAACAGACTTCCGGAAGTGGCATCCACGCACTTCCAGTGGGCCGTTCTGGGCCTTGTGAAAAAAAGGCTAGGGCTTCAGTCGGTTCGTCGAAGTCAACAAAAAATTAGCTACCAGTTCTACCGAACTGGTGCGAACCGGCTGAATCCCACCACTGCTTTTATTATCTCAACTTCTATTATCTCAAGCATTATGGAAGCTACCATAATTGGAATATAATCACTCTGACATTGTCAGGTATGAACTGGAAGCTATCTAAAGCTTCACCTCAATATTTATAACAAAACAAAATATTTTTGAAAGATCATAAGTAACTGTAAAGCCTGCAAATAGCACTTTTCTATTTTAGTTCCAGTTAAAACTTTATGTTGACACTTTGTAGATATATTTGGCACAAAGTAATATTTTAGTCCAACTATTGCTGCAGAGCATCCCAATGGTAGTTCTGAAGAGAAAATAAAATGATGCCAATCTTCTGATCACATTAGGGGGCATGAGAATACTGACATCTTTATTTCAATCAGAATAGAGCTGGAAGGGATCTTGGAAATTTTCTAATCCAATCTCCTGCTCAAGGAGGAGACCCTTACCATCTCAGACAAGTGACTGTCCAGTCCTTTGTTAAAAACCTCCAAGTGATGAAGCACCCATAACTTCTGACAGTAAGCTGTTCCACTGGTTAATTGTCCTCTATGTTAGGAAGTTTCTCCTAATTAGCTAGATGCTAGGAAAAGACTATTACCTGATTGGCAACTTATTTATTGCTACTTTGAAATTATGTGTTATGAGAAAAGTTACATTAGTTGGATTCTAACAGTGCTGTTCCTGTTTATTACCCCTCCATTTTTAATACAAGTTCTCAAAAGGAGGAAATGCACATTGCAAATAGTTTCCCTGGGTTTTTCAGCTTTCAGACTGCCAAATACAAAAGAAAATGCATTTCTCAAGCCAACATAAAAGGTTTTTTTACTGTTTTTAAAGAGAAGCCATTTTATCACTTTTTTGGCCTTAATTATGCAGCTGTGTTAAGGCCAGTGGGTTTGACTAACAGGTTCAAGACAACTTATGTTACTAAAAACTATTTATAACTTTTACCTTCATAGTTTACTTGACCATCACCATCAATATCTGCTTCTCTAATCATCTCATCAACTTCTTCATCTGTTAGCTTCTCTCCAAGATTTGTCATCACATGGCGAAGTTCTGCAGCACTAATATAACCGTTACCATCCTGGAAAATATTTGGTTGTCACTTTGATTATATTAAATTGTTTTAAGCTCATATTTTAACAATAAGAAATAACTTGCTTCTACTAAAAAGGTTAAAAATTAGGCAAGGACAGGACAATTAGCATTGCAAAGAACAGTCGAGGAAGGAGATAGTTAATTATTGTTCCATGTGTTTTGAATTCTTATGTACGCACACCTGGGAACGTTTTGTTTTTATTACAGACCAAACTATTTAACCGACATTATTTGACATTAGTTACATACTTTAATTGGGTTGGCAGGAATGAAAAAAAGATACAGCATTATTGGTAGCATCAACTCTTCTAAAAAGTTTTAGAACAGACTGCCTACAAGTTAGGAAAGCTTGCATTAAAATTCCCTGAAAACTGTACATCATTGCTCACTGGCATAGACAATAGAGTATAGAAATTTGTTCTTATCAAAGTGGAAATTCCCCTTGGTTTAAGGCATACAGGATTTTGAAAGCTTATCAAAATATTTGAAATACCTTATCAAATACACGGAATGCTTCTCTAATTTCTTCCTCACTGTCTGTGTCCTTCATTTTTCTTGCCATCATTGTCAAAAATTCTGGGAAGTCAATTGTGCCATTACCTGGAAAATAATTTACATATTAATAAAATTCCTTTCAGTTATATTCAGGTATTAATGGTGATTTAATTACTGAATTGTTTTAAATAAAATTTACCATCAGCATCTACTTCATTGATCATGTCCTGTAATTCTGCTTCTGTGGGATTCTGTCCAAGTGACCTCATCACTGTCCCCAATTCTTTTGTTGTTATTGTGCCATCTCCATCTTTGTCAAATAGTGAAAAAGCTTCCTTGAATTCTGTAATACAAAACAGCAAACCATTTATATTTCCAAACCATTCAACTTACTTTTATTTAAAAAGGATTAATCCTGGTTAGTATGTAAACAGACACTACAAGCAATATCAAATTGAAATTAAATACAATAGCAAAATAATCAAGACATTATTCTGGTACTCTTGCCAAGAAAGCTATATAGCTAAGCCCACAAAACCATCGTAAGATGAGCACGATTCTAAGAATTCTTTTGCATTTTTTTATTAAAAAAATGCTTCCACGATAGTTTTTTTCCAACTTTTCCAGAGCAAATTTAGTTGCAGCAGAAGAAAAGGGATAGAAAACATTCACCAGTTTCAAAGGAAAGTACTTTTCTTTTGGAAACATGAAATCCCTTTATTACTATCAGATGAAAAAAGCTTTCTGTCATCTTATGCTCAGATAGCTACCTCCACAATGGAGATTAGTATTATCACTTCTTTCTTTTGAAGTTCCCAGATATCATTTATACTCTTATTAACCTCCCACGTTTCCTACATTTGGACCTTCTTGTTTTGGGGCCCTGAAAAAAGATATCCAATGCCAAAATATTATCTACTGTAGAATCACTTATATGTGACTACACTGTATGTGTGAGCAGGCAGGTATATAAATTTAATATTATTTAATAAATACATAAAATTTTCTAAACCTCACAACACCCACCACAAAAAAATTCAAGCACTTTTAAGAAAACAGTAGTACTTATATCAGTGATTCTCAACATCAGCAAGATATCTGGACCAACTCCTAGAATTCCCCAGCCAGCATGGCTGGCTGGAGAATTTAGAGCAGACATGTCAAACACAAGGCCCGGGGGCCGGATGCGGCCCGCGAAGTGGTTTCATGTGGCCCGCGAAACCATCCTGGAAACAACTGAGGGAACGGTCCCCGCTGCCTTGGCCCTGGCCGGCTGGGAGCCAATGTAGTTTTGTGGTGGCCATCTATGCTGAAACGCATTCAGTCTTAGCTCCACAAGGCCGTCTAGAAACAGCGAGGAACCAGCC